TATGTGTTAGAAAGACAAATTTGGTAATAAGTATACATATGTTATGAAAAAGAGGATAATAAATATACAGGTATGATGTAGCACGTACAAGAAAGTAGTTTTCTATTAGATTATGTATTGGTGAGATAAAAGGTTGATGGTAGGCACAGGATGTACATGTTTATAGAGGGGCAACTGATATATCGGTCATTATTTAGTATGTAGCTACAGTTAGAGTAAGAGTAGATGGGAGGGAAAAGAGGAAGTTAGGCACAAACATGTAAGAGGGAGGTGAAAGTGTATAATCTAATGGAGGAGGAGTTCGGGGTGAGATAATGCGACTACTTGGCATAGGAAAGGTGGGCTAGTGCAAAGATGAGTTAGTGGGGGGGGTTGAGAGGGTTGAAAAGTTTTAAAAATGCAGTATTAGAATTTGGGGCAGAAGTTTGGTGGTTATAGGAGGGTGGGGGGCAGGGGGAAGAGGAGTGAGTGGTGCCTGGAATGATGAAGCTAAAGGGTTGTGATAAAGAGAAAAAGGTTTTAGCTTATGAGAGTTTTTTTACAAAACAGAAGTGTTATAGAAGAGCAGAGTATATGGAGAGTAAAAGAAAGGTAAAGAGGAGTGGTGTTAGGAGAGAGTGCAAAAGGAGAGCAGATGATGAGTGGGCGAGGCTCTGTCAAGAAAATTTTAATGAAAATAAGAAAAAAAATTTGGAGAAGCGAGTTTTAAACAAGTTAAGAAAGCTAGGGAAAATATGGATTTGTCATTAAAAACGAGTGGGGAGTTTTAGTAGATGGGGAGCTGGAGGTATTGGGTAGTTGCGAGAATATTTTGAGGAACTTTTAAATGTTAAGGAAGAAACAGAGCGTAATTTAATGCATTGGTCAGGCGAGGCGTATATACCATCTTTTAGGAGCGTGAAGCAAGAGCAGAATGTAAGTGTGGGGGGAGGTAGTGAGGCATTACGGTAAAATGAAAGGGGGTGTGAAAGCACGCTGAACTGAAGGGATCATGACAGAAATGATACTAATAAGCAGGCGCGGGGGGATTTAGTGTTGGAGTGGTTGGTACTTTTGTTTAATAATTGTATTGATAAGAGGGGATAGGTACCTAGGGATTGCAGAGAGGATGTATGTCCTTTTTATAAAGGGAAAGGGTGAAAAGAGCTTTAAAAATTATACGAGGAATAAGCTTACTCGAGCTATACAGGAAATGGGTACGGTTTAGGGTTAATTGAAAGAATTAGAGGTAAGACAGATAGTAGGATTGCGGATGAGCAAGGAGGTTCTCAGACGTGGGTGGGGATGTGTAGCTTAAGGATGTTTACATTGAAGCATATATGTGAACTAGTATTAAGATATAAGATAGGGACGTTTTTATTGATTATGGATTAGAATAGATATGATAGACGTGGCTAGAGGAGCAATGTGGCAGAGTCTGCAAGTATATGGAATAGGTGGTAGTTATTAAATGCTGTAAAGTGTTTTTTGAGGATAGTGCGGTCTCAGGTTAGGGTGTGTGAAGAGAGGGAGGACTACTTCCAGTAAAAGGTAGGTCTTAGACAGGGTATGTGTAATGTGTCACCTGGTTGTTTAATTATTTATAGACTGGGGTTGTAAGAAGTAAAAATGCTAGGGTGTTTGGAGAGGGGTGGGATTAAATTATGGGGAATCCCAACTAATGGGAATTAGACCACAGTTTACTTTTTGTGATGATATGTGCTTATGGGGATTCTAAAGAAAAATTGCAAAGGTATAGTGGAAATGAGTTGGGAATGTGTGTAAGGTTAGAAGTTGAAAGTGAAACATAGAAAAGAGTAAGTGATGAGGGTTGTCAAATGAATTTAGATAAAGAAAATTGGATAATCAAATTGGGGAGGAGGAGTATGGAAGAAGTGAATGTTTTCAGTACTTGGAGGTTGAGTGTCGGCGGATGGCATTTATGAAGGATGAGGTTAATCATAGAATTGATGAGGGAAAAAAAGCGTCGAGTGGTCACACTACACAGACCAGCACAAACTTACCATGGTATAAGTGGACGTCAAAAAACGTTATCTATGGAGCAAAGAAGGGAATGTATGAAAGTATAGTAGTACACACTCTTTATATGGGTGTGAAGCTTGGGTGGTAAATGCAAAGTAGCGAGGAGACGGTTGGAGGCAGTGGAGATGTCCTGGTTAGGGCATGTGTGGTTGTAAAATATTATGCAGAAAATTCGAGAGTGTGGATATTAGAAGGTTGTGGAGTTAATAAAAGTATTAGTCAGAGGGCAGAAGAGGGGTTGTTGAGGTGGTTGGTCATTTAGAGAGAATGCATCAAAGTAGAATGCATGGAAAGCATATAAATATATATAGGGGATAGGGAAGGCGGGGTAGGGGTCGTCCTCGAAAAGGGTAGAGTGGAGAGGGGGGTAAAGGAGGTTTTGTGGGTAAGGAAAAAGGGCTTGGATTCCAGCAAGCGTCGTGCAGTGAGCGTGTTAGGATAGGAGTGAATGGAGACGGAATGGTACTTGGGACTGACGATCTGTTGGAGTTGTGAGAGGGGATAAATGTAGTGAGGGATTCAGGGAAACCGGTTATTTTATATAGGTCGGACTTGGAGTCCTGAAATGGGCAAGTACAATGCCTGCACTTTAAAGGAGGGGTTTGGGATATTGGCAGTTTGGAGGGATATGTTGTGTATCTTGTATATGTTGTATGCTTCTGACTGTGGTATTACGAGCACTCTGCAAAAAAACAGTGATAATGTGCGCGTGTGGTGAAAGTGTTGAATGATGATGAAAGTATTTTTCTTTTTGGGGATTTTCTTTCTTTTTTGGGTCACCCTGCCTCGGTGGGAGACGGCCGACTTGTTGAAAAAAAAAAAAAAAAAAAAATGTATATTTCATGTAAAAAAATTTTTTTGTTTTAATTCTTCTGGGTGTCAGGAACAGATTAATTGTATTTACATTATTTCTTATGGGGAAAAATTGATTCGGCGAATCGTAAATTTCGTTTACAGTAGCTCCTCCAGGAACGGATTAATTACGAAAAACAAGGGACCACTGTATTAGTCAGAGGGCTGAAGAAGGGTTGTTGAGGTGGTTTGGTCATTCAGAGAGAATGGATCAAAGTAGAATGACATGGAGAGCATTTAAATCTATAGGAGAAGGAAAGGTAGGGGGTAAGGTGTCCTCGAAAGGTTGGAAGGAAAGGAAAGCGGTAAGGGAGGTGTTATGGGCGAGAGCCTTGACTTCCAGCAGGATGTGCATGAGCCGTGTTCGATAGGATGAATGGAGACGAATGGGCATTTGGGACTGTCGATCTGTTGGAGTGTGAGCAGGGTTAATATTTAGTGGAAGGGTTTCAGAGGAAACGGTTACAGTGGACCCCCAGTAATTCGATGGCATCTGTATGCGATAAATCCGCGTTCGATGCATTTTCAACGCAAAAAATTTGCTCGGTACCATGATAAACCCGGTATTCGATATGATTCGTACAAGAGGTGTCACGTGTGTCCTGAACTGCCTGTGTGTGCAGTGTTTACAAGCCAGCCAGTGTGCACGCATCTAAGAAACATTTGGCGACATTCATATTATTTACATGTTTTTGGTGCTTGTTTCTGCAAATAATACGTCACCATGGGACCCAGAAAAGCTTCTAGTGCAACCTGCTGGTTTAAAAGGGTTGAGAATTAGTATGGAAATTAGAAAGATTTGAAGGGTTTGGGGGCTTACCCTTAGAAGCATATGCCAGTTGTGGGGGGGGGAAAAAATTTTTTTTTTTTCCATTGTGCCTATTCAAAAATTAAGGAAATGTGTGCAACAGTGGGTTGAACTGCCAAGAACCTTTTTGGGATTGAAAAATCACCTAACCACAGCTATTGCAAGCATGCTGGGGACGATTACAATGACAATGTTACGGTCGGCCCATTTTAGACAAATCGTAAAGAACGGAGGTACAGAGCTCTGTGGACCGTTTTGTTGTGCGACAGAGGTCCAGTGATCTCAAGCTTGGTCTAGTGGCATTAATTGAGAAGAGAAGTCACCCAGAAAATGACTTGCTACCTCAAGTCTAATGGAAGGGGATTCCTTCTAAACACTAACATCATCCACACGCTCTTCCCTCCTCCCATCCATCAATCAACACCAGATCTTCAATAAAGGTAAGTGTCATGTAACTGTGCATGTCTTCTTCAAGTTTGTGTGTTATTAAAATTAATATTCTCCACGGCGCGTAACAAACAACTTTTTTTTTTTTACTTTTGGGGTGTCTTGGATCGGTAATATTAATTTGTCTTTCCATTATTTCTTATGGGAAATTGATTCGCGTTGCGAATATTTCGGTATTCGATGAGCTCTCAGGGAAACGGATAATATTGAATTCGGGGGTCCACTGTATTTTATATAAGCCGGACTATGAGGCCTGGAAATGGGAAGTACATGCCGCACTCTAAAGGAGGGGTTTCGGTGATATTAGCTGTTTTGAGATGGATATGTTGTGTATCTTTATACGTACATGCTTCTAAACTGTTGTGTTCTGAGCACCTCTGCAAAAACAGTGATTATGTGTGAGTGAGGTGAAAGTGTTGAATGATGATGAAAGTATTTTCTTTTTGGGGATTTTCTTTCTTTCTGGGTCACCCTGCCTCGGTGGGAGACGGCCGACTTGTTGAAAAAAAAAAAAAAAAATCCAACAATTCTTTCTTGGGTAGTGCCTGTTGGGTCTATTACCACAGGAGTTTACTACAGAGGGAATAAAGTTAAATTGTCATCTTTCATGAAGGGCTAAACCCATGTGGGCCATTTAACTCAATAATCCACCTCCTAACTGTAAAACAGACTCTGTCCAGTCAGACTGCTGGTAATCATTATATAAGGCTCTGGATACAAAAATCAGTGTATAAGGCTGTGGATACAAAATTACTGATATGGATTTAAGAGTCTAAGTCTGACTATGGTAGAGAACTTTAAAATATTATCATGATCAACTGGATATTGATTTCTACACGTATTATGCAGCTTCACATATTTTGTATTCTACCTGAGTGCTGTAGTAATCTGCCCAAGTAATAGGATGTTCACTTAGTGACCAGCCAATCTCTTCATTCATTTCTCGATTCAAACCATCTACAATATCCTCTCCTGATTTCACTAGACCACCAGGAAAACCAAAGGTGCCATCAAAGCGCAGATGCATCTGTAAAGTATAGTCAATGCTAAAAAAATTAAGATTTAGAAAAACCACAGATATTCCTGAATAAAAATGACTAAAATTGCAGAATCAAGTTTCCAAAACAGAAAAGTTGTCTAATAAATATGTCCTAGGGTTTACACACATGTCTTTTGGGCCACTTGTTAGTATTAATTACTGTACCAAGGTTTTTATCAACTGCACTGCAAAGTTTTGGACAACACACACACATATATAGATGATAAGGGGGTACAGTATTGTGTTTGCCAGAAAAAAACAAAAAATCTGCTCTTAAAGCATAAGATGATCCACTCGGTGGAGCTTTAGATCATTTGGCAAGAGGCCTTTTGATGGATTACCAGTCTCCCCTGTAAAAAAAAAAAAAAAAAAAAAAAAAAAAAAAAAAAAAAAAAAAAAAAAAAAAAAAGGGGGGGGGGGGGGTTCATAGGAGTGATAAAAAACAAATATATTATTCATGTTATAAATTTTTCTTGCTATAGAATGGGTAAGGAATGTACAAAACTAAAGTGATCAATAAAATGGTATTATTTGTGGGCAAAGACCAGAAAGGTAAATATTATTGAAATGAGACACAAATATCAGATTATGCAAAGAAACACATCCTATGTTATTTTCTACAGGCAAGTAATAGTTCCCAAGATTGTGACCATCCTTTATCAAAGTAAAACTTTCAATAATATCTATTATAATAAACAAAACACTGAATAATGCAATGCATTTTTTAACCATAAATATACATGTATTCACCATGACTGCTGCTCGCAATTCTCCAAAACTGGAACTACCTTCCTGTGGAGCCCAAACACAGGCATGACCTGCGTGACGGTACGTACTAAATCTCTTTGCTTCGGCATATGACAGAAGTCTTTTGGTCACTGTACGGATCTGAAGACATTTTGGAATCTGAAATACATAAATTTTATTACTGTACTTAAATACATACAGTAGGTGTATAGTATACAGAACAGTATGTACATTTTTTTAAATAATGGATGTAAATTCAAATTAGCTTTTTCTACAAATTCTGTATACAGTGTGAAAAGGATGTTTATGTACAGTTCAGGACATGCATTAAAAGATAACATTTTAAGGAGTGATTTAATCAGGATCACTCAACCTTTAACAACCAGATTTATGCAGTATAAACATTTTATACTGTGAAAAATTCAGGTAACCCTTTCACTGTCAGTCATGTAGATCTATGTGACTGGGTCAGTATTGCTCATGTATATTTATGCATAATTTACAGCACCCTCAAATTTGCTGTGAATGACAAATTTTGACCTAGACATGAGAAAATGGGTCAATGCAGTGGGTATCTGCAATATAAAAAAAAATTCTGCCCTACACAGTGGATAATGGGAATAGGTAACATCTGACATTGTGTTTTGAGGCCTAAAATAGGCCTCAAAGTGGAGGAAATAGTTATTTGACAATTTGCTGGGAGAAGGGTAGGAGCATCTTTATCAAGTCTGTTTTGTGTTTTTACATCTACTTTAATTATTGGTACAGCCTAAACCATGGCCAACCATTCTTGGCTTTAGCTTATTAGCTGAGCAACAGGAAATACATCAGTTTTTTGTGATGATGGATTCAAAATGGAGAGCAAGTGTTTTACAGAAGCCTGGGGATGTGATTCATGAACACATGGAAGGTTGCCTTAGTTCTGAAATGCCTATAGTGTTTGTTTTGGGCTTCATTTTTAAAATGGAATTTACCAAGATTTGCTATATTACCAAATTCTTGGCACTTAAGGGAAAGTTTTGATTACTGAACAGGCAGTTTCTTGTGACTAATGGCTAATATGGAAGGTATATTAGTGAAATAGCTGGGAACTGGTCCATTTAACCACTGGTACTGGTCTAAAATTGGCCTCGAAGCAGATGTAATTGCTGATGTGTAAACAGCTCCCTGACCCCCATCTTCTCACCTGCATAATTCTGGAAGTACAGTGGACCCTCGCCTAACGATATTAATCCGTTCCTGAGAGCTCATCGTTAGCCGAATTAATTTTTCCCATAAGAAATAATGGAAATCCAATTAATCCATTCCAGACAGCCAAAAGTATTAAAAATTTTCTTTTTTTTTCATAAAATATACATTTCCCTACACAGAAAGCAATGAGACATGCACAATAACTACATAAATAAATGTTAAAATGACACCTTTATTGAAGATTAATGATGAGTGATGAGACACTGTTTTTCTTGAACACTAGCATTACAACAAAGCATGAGAGTTAGCCTGTCTTTCACAGGCTTGTGTCCTGGGAGTGTCTTTTCCTCCTGAGTAATGCAGGTCCTGTTTGGCATTTTCTTCCAGAACAGGCCTGTTTCGTCACAATTGAACACTTGTTGGGGTTGGAATTTTTTAGCTTCACCATGCCTTATCGCACTGTGTATGCCACTACAATTCTTAAATCTCTCAAACCAACCTTTGCTGGCCTTAAATTCACCAATACGAGCACTACTTCAAGGCATTTTTTCCTGTTCACCTGGGTATTAGTCGACTGTTGTGGGTCGCATCCTGGGGGACGAGATTAAGGACCCCAATGGAAATATGTTAGACAGTCCTCGATGATGCACTGGCTTTCTTGGGTTATCCTGGGTAGCTAACCATCTGGGGTTAATTGTTTCTCGGTAACTGTTTCCCGTTAAGCCACATCAACAACACACACTCCACATCTTCGAGTAGTACAGCTGATGGTGGTGGAGCAACAGCTGATGGTGGTGCAGCAGCAGCAACAGCTAACTGTGGTGCAGCAACAGCTGACTTAGGTGCAGCAGCAGCTGACTTAGGTGCAGCAGCAGCTCACTGTGGTGCAGCAGCAGCTGACCATGGTTCAGCAACACCTGACTTTGGTGCAGCAGCAGCTGACCGTGGTGCAGCAACAGCTGACTGTGGTGCAGCAGCAGCTGACTTTGGTGCAGCAGCAGCTGACTTTGGTGCAGCATCAGCTGACGGTGATGCAGCAACAGCTGACGGTGATGCAGCAACAGCTGACGGTGATGCAGCAACAGCTGACCGAGGTGCATCAACAGCTGATTGGTCCAGCAACAGCTGACTGTGGTGCAGCAGCAGCTGACCGTGGTACGATAGTACCACGGTCAGCTGAGAGCTCATCGAATACCGAAAATATCGAAAAGCGAATAAATTTTCCCCATAAGAAATAATGGAAATCAAATTAATCCGTGCAAGACACCCAAAAGTATGAAAAAAAAATTTTTTTTACCACATGAAATATTAATTTTAATACACACAAACTGAAGAAGACATGCACAGTTACATGACACTTACCTTTATTGAAGATCTGGTGATGATTGATGGGATGGGAGGAGGGGAGAGTGTGGATGGTGTTAGTGTTTAGAAGGGAAATCCCCTTCCATTAGGACTTGAGGTAGCAAGTCCTTTTCCGGGGTTACTTCCCTTCTTCTTTTAATGCCACGAGGACCAGCTTGAGAGTCACTGGACCTCTGTCGCACAACAAATTTGTCCATAAAGCTCTGTACCTCCCGTTCCTTTACGATTTGTCTAAAATGGGCCATAACATTGTCGTTGTAATAGTCACCAGCACGGCTTGCAACAGCTGTGTTAGGGTGATTTTCATCCATAAAGGTTTGCACTTCAACCCACTGTGCACACATTTCCTTAATTTTTGAAGTAGGCACAATGGATTCCACAACTGGCATAGGCTTCTCAGGGTTAGCCCCAAACCCTTCAAAATTTTTCTTAATTTCCATACTAATTCTCACCCTTTTTACCACAGGGCTGGCACTAGAAGCTTTCTTGGGGCCCATGGTGACTTATTTTGCAGAAACAAGCACCAAAAACAGTGATAATATGGATAATATGGAATGTACTGAATGTATCCTTAGATGCGCGCACACTGGCTGGCTTGTAAACACTGGCACACAAGGGGCAGTTCAGGCCACATGTGGACATGTCTCGTACGAATCGTATCGAATACCGGGTTTTCAATCAGATACCGAGGCAAAATTTTTGCGTTAAAATGCATCGAATACCGGATTTATCGAATACCGATGCCATCGAATACAGGGGGTCCACTGTATTTCGATAGTATTTCTCACCCTTTCTACCACAGGGTTGGCACTAGAAGCTTTCTTTGAGCCCATGGTGGCTTATTTAGCAGTTACAAGCATTAAAAACAATGTAATATAATACAAAATGTATTGAATGTATGCATGCAACTGGCCACCCTGGCTTGTAAACAATGATGGCAGGGCAGCTGAGGCGCTCAGGCTGGACGCATAGGTTTTGGAGGAATCACGTTGGGCAAGTTTTTTATCATGTGGAGAGGCAAAATTTTTGCATTCAAATGCTTCGTATGGCGGAATTAACGTTATGCGATGCGTTCGTTAGGCGGGGGTCCACTGTATTATGCATTAACAAATTTTGCATTTTTTAGTGTCAATACCAACAGAAAAAGATTCTTGACTATTTTAGAAGATAATTAAAAAAAAAATGGTGACACACAGAAGAGGCTTTTAATTTGGGAGTATCAACAGTGAAAGTGTTACATTAAAGAAAGTGCCAAGTACCTTTGTCTATTACAGAAAATAAAAATAAAAATTAACAGCAGATATGATCTAGAGTAATTATTAATTATGAGTGAATTATAGCTTTAAAATTATCACATAAAAAGGTAATGATAATTACTATACAACAGAAGCAGTTCAAACTTATGATCATCATCATTATCAGTACCACATTCCTTAACTGCATAAAATCATGTATTACAGTAGGACACTATACAGTGGACCCCCGGTTAACGATTTTAATCCGTGCAAGAGGGGTAATTGTTATGCGAAATAATCGTTATGTGAATGAATTTTCCCCATAAGAAATAATGGAAATAAAATTAATTCGTGCAAGACACCCAAAAGTATGAAAAAAAAAAATTTTACCACATGAAATATACATTTTCCCACACACAAAGAGAAGGATACATGCACAATAGTAGAGTAGTACATGCACAGTATATATTGTGCATGTACTAGTCTACTAAATGAAGAATAAATGACACTTACCTTTATTGAAGATGCAGCAATGACTGATGAGACACTGTGTCCTGGGAGTGCCTTTTCCTCCTGAGTACTGTAGGTCCTGTTTGGCATTTTCTTCCAGAACAGGCCTTATCACACTGTGTATGCCACTACGATTCTTAAATCTCTCAAACCAACCTTTGCTGGCTTTAAATTCACCAATATGAGCACTAGTTCCAGGCATTTTTCCCTGTTCACCTGGGTGTTAGTCGACTTGTGTGGGTTGCATCCTGGGAGACAAGATTAAGGACCCCAATGGAAATAAGTTAGACAGTCTTCGATGACACTGACTTTTTTGGGTTATCCTGGGTGGCAAATCCTCTGGGTTAATTGTTTCTTGGTATTCTCAATAAGCCACACCAACAACGGTGCTACAGCAGCAGCAGCAGCTGACAGTGCAGCAGCAGCAGCAGCTGTACCACCAATAGTAGCGATGGTTGATTGGGGTTTATTATACAACCTGGCCAGCTCGGAGACATGCACTCCACTTTCATACTTATCAATGATCTTTTTCTTCATCTCTATTGTAATTCTCACCCTTATTGCTGTAGGGTTGGCACTAGAAGCTTTCTTGGGGCCCATGGTCACTTATTTTCCAGAAAAAGCACCGAAAACACTGTAATAATACGAAATATTCCGATTGTATGCTTGGATGTTACCGCGGAGGCTGGCTGGTAAACAATGCCACCGGCGGAACATGTGAGCGTGGCTCAGGCCGCGTCTCGGACGAAAATCGGTAAGCGGGTTTTTAAGCGGTATGTGAGGCAAAATTTTTGCGATTAAAGTAAGTGGTATGCGAAATAATCGCTATGTGATGCCATCGTTATGCGGGGGTCCACTGTATTCTCATTTACTCAAAATTAATTTTTATAATAAAACCCTTTTATTTAATCATATGTTTAGAGATAACACATAGTAGATATGAAAACTCTATGGTCGCTTCACTGATAGAGTAATGCAAAATCTCAAATAAACATTTTAAATTTTTCATGGCAAAATGCTACTACTGTATTTGCAAACATCTAATGCAGTGAAAGGGTAAATTAATGTAACAATCCTTACCTGAGGTACTGGGAGATTATCTAAAACAATCTCACTCTTTATATTTGAGCCCGACATTCCTGAAAACAAGAAAACAACAGGTAATTGCTCTCTGGTTTAGTTACAGTGAGTCATGTTTTCACTCCTGTAATGTCTTTCTTCTACACCTGAAAAAACAACTGCATTGTAAACTGATCATTCAAATATTAACGTATGTCTACCTCACACTTACGTTTTTTCGGATGAATGAAAACATAGGTTATGTTACTGTATATCACTGGTAAGCCCTCATTATGGTTATACAGCACAGTTCTGGTATATTACAGAATCTACTAAAATACACTGGAAAAGATGCAGAGGCAAATGCAAGTTGATCCATAGTACCCAATATCATTCATACAATAATGTATTAAGATCATTGAACCTGCAATCTAAGAAAGACATAGTGATAGGGAATATGACTAAAGTGTACAAATGAAATAAAAAGGAACAAAATGGACCAGGTAATATTTCGTGAAGGGATTCAGGGAAACTGGTTAGCCAGACTTGAGTCCTGGAGGTGGCAGTATAGTGCTTGCACTCTAAAGGAGGGGTATGGGATATTTGCTGTTTAGAGTAACATCTAAACCGTTATATATGCGCACCTCTGCCAAGACAGTGATAGTGTAAGTGAATCGAGATACAATTCACAGCAAATACCAAACATTAAAGTTAGAAAAACCTTGACTTGGAAAGAATATTGTAAGACAATGGTTTGGCAAAAGTTGTATATACATAAGAACACTATCAAGTAGTGTCCTTGAAATAAACACTTTGAGTAACTTTAAAAAGTATCAGACACATGAATGAATGGAAATGTCTGGATGTGATTATGATTTACCTAGTATAGGCCAGCAGACCCACAGCAATACTCCTCTATTTCTGTGTTCTTATTCTTGTTTACAAACTCTGAACTTAAACTCTATAGTAAAATATAAATGATGGGGATATTAGTGCACAAAGAAGAGTGAAGAAAAATAAAGGTATGAGAAGAGAACTGAAAATATGACAAAAGTTGAAAATGAAACAAATACAGATTAAGAAAGAATAATGAAAAAACATTAGTGTGGCAAAGGAAACCTAAGTTCAGTTGTAGAGCTTAACACTCAACACTTACATTATACTAGTAAACCAGGATAATGTAATAAAGCCATGTAATATTTCCATTAAGGTTCTTTAATCCTCTCTTCCCCAGGATGCGACCCACAACAGTCGACTAACACCCAGCAGGTACCTACTTACTGCTAGGTGAACACAGACAGTAGGTGTAATGTAACTTTTTTGGGTTATCCTAGGTAATTTACACATACGTTAAACTATGTGTGATAATCGTACTTATGTGTACCTGTACATAAATAAACTTATGCTCAACACTCCAATACTGAAACTATGTATAGTGCCAAAACAAAAGCATTCACACTGCTAAACTCACAATCTAGTATTTAGTCACTTAGCCATAATACCAACTTACCTTATAATTTGTAATATTTTAAACTTAGAATTAATTTAAGTCTGCCCGAAATACCTAGCCATGCTAGGTGTTCTAGTGGTACACTCTGTAATTATTATTTTACTACATGTAAACCACACAATAACCAAATTCTGTAAACTCAGCATTGTAATCTTTATAGAGAATAAACTTTGAATTTGAATTTGAATTTGAATTTGAATTTGACTTTGAATACAATCGTCCGGGAATCGAACCCAGGTCCCTCAAGTTGAGCTGAGGCCGCAACTAGATGAGCCACGTCTGGGAATTACTGCGATCTGATCCAAGGAAGGAGAGTACAATTACAGTTCCTTGGATCAAGAGCCCCTTATCAATACAAATAAACTTCCTCGAGGGGAACAAAAAACAAGAGACACGTTGGGAGTCCTCACCTGAGTGTTGTTGTTAAGGGCTATAACGTTCAACTGTCTCCAACCTCACGGTCGGTGTCCGGGAAATAAATATTACTCAGAACTTGGCGGTGGTAATATGGAAGAGAAGATGAATTTTCTCTACAACTCTGAAAAAGAGAGGGACTAAGTATTCCCTAACAGGAAAAGTTAATATTAATTAAACTCAAGCGAAGTACTCACAATCTGAGTCAATAACCGGTCAGCCAAGCAAGCCGTGGCAAGTATCTTCCTGTCACGTGATCTCTCACCAAATATTTATTATTATTATTATATTATTATTTTATTATTACAATTCCTCTCCTTCTTCTTCTTCCTCTTCTTCGTCTTCTTCTTCTTCTTCTTCTTCTTCTTCTTCTTCTTCTTCTTCTTCTTCTTCTTCTTCTTCTTCTTCTTCTTCTTCTTCTTCTTCTTCTTCTTCTTCTTCTTCTTCTTCTTCTTCTTCTTCTTCTTCTTCTTCTTCTTCTTCTTCTTCTTCTTCTTATTATTATTATTATTATTATTATTATTATTATTATTATTATTATTATTATTATTATTATTTTATTACAATTCCTCTTCTTCTTCTTCTTCTTCTTCTTCTTCTTATTATTATTATTATTATTATTATTATTATTATTATTATTATTATTATTATTATTATTATTATTATTATTTTATTACAATTCCTCTTCTTCTTCTTCTTCTTCTTCTTCTTCTTCTTATTATTATTATTATTATTATTATTATTATTATTATTATTATTATTATTATTAGGTTAAATCAGGTATGTCAGGAAGCAGGTTGGTCATGTCATGACCCACACTTCCAACTTTTGGTCATCTGACAGAAGCTTTCCGCATATTATTATTATTTTATTCTCATTATTATTATATTATTATTATTATTAATTATTATCATTATCATTATTAATCATGGAAAAGAACTAAACCCGTGTGGATTAATTAGCGCCTGTAGAATCTGAGGTATTCAAGTTTGATCCAAGAAAGGAGAGGCTAATCCAATTCCTAGTATCAAATCTTTCATGATCATTGTAAAATAAAATAATAATGAGATAATGGTCCTCTTGAGATAATGATCCTCTTGAGATAATGGTCCTCTTGAGATAATGGTCCTCTTGAGATAATGGTCTTCTTGAGATAATGGTCCTCTTGAGATAATGATCCTCTTGAGATAATGGTCCTCATGAGATAATGGTCTTCTTGAGATAATGGTCTTCTTGAGATAATGGTCTTCTTGAGATAATGGTCTTCTTGAGATAATGGTCCTCTTGAGATAATGGTCTTCTTGAGATAATGGTCCTCTTGAGATAATGGTCTTCTTGAGATAATGGTCTTCTTGAGATAATGATCCTCTTGAGATAATGGTCCTCTTGAGATAATGGTCTTCTTGAGATAATGGTCCTCTTGAGATAATGATCCTCTTGAGATAATGGTCCTCTTGAGATAATGGTCTTCTTGAGATAATGGTCTTCTTGAGATAATGGTCTTCTTGAGATAATGGTCTTCTTGAGATAATGGTCCTCTTGAGATAATGGTCTTCTTGAGATAATGGTCCTCTTGAGATAATGGTCTTCTTGAGATAATGGTCTTCTTGAGATAATGGTCTTCTTGAGATAATGGTCCTCTTGAGATAATGGTCTTCTTGAGATAATGGTCCTCTTGAGATAATGGTCTTCTTGAGATAATGGTCCTCTTGAGATAATGGTCTTCTTGAGATAATGGTCCTCTTGAGATAATGGTCTTCTTGAGATAATGGTCTTCTTGAGATAATGGTCTTCTTGAGATAATGGTCTTCTTGAGATAATGGTCCTCTTGAGATAATGGTCTTCTTGAGATAATGGTCCTCTTGAGATAATGGTCTTCTTGAGATAATGGTCTTCTTGAGATAATGGTCTTCTTGAGATAATGGTCCTCTTGAGATAATGGTCTTCTTGAGATAATGGTCCTCTTGAGATAATGGTCTTCTTGAGATAATAGTCTTCTTGAGATAATGGTCCTCTTGAGATAATGGTCTTCTTGAGATAATGGTCTTCTTGAGATAATGGTCTTCTTGAGATAATGGTCCTCTTGAGATAATGGTCTTCTTGAGATAATGGTCTTCTTGAGATAATGGTCTTCTTGAGATAATGGTCTTCTTGAGATAATGGTCCTCTTGAGATAATGGTCTTCTTGAGATAATGGTCTTCTTGAGATAATGGTCTTCTTGAGATAATGGTCTTCTTGAGATAATGGTCCTCTTGAGATAATGGTCTTCTTGAGATAATGGTCTTCTTGAGATAATGGTCTTCTTGAGATAATGGTCTTCTTGAGATAATGGTCCTCTTGAGACACCAAACATTATTTTCGGTAATAGTTAATAGTCAGCTAGGCCTGGATACCTTGTATATGTACTTGAAGAAATAAATATTATTATTAATATTAAAGTGTTGTGTGGCTTGGTTAACAACGTACTCGCCTCACTCATTGAGTGTCCAGGGTTCGATTCCCGGCACGGGTGGAAAAATTAGTTGTGTTATACCTACTGTTACTGTTCACCTAGAAGTAAGTAGGTACCTGAGTGTTAGTAAATTGTTGTGGCTTGTAAATTGTGAGTTCATTACCTCTGTAACTTGCTCAGCTATCAAAACTTTGGAGTCCAGTCCCTGGACCAATTATGTACCTCTGTAATCTTTTGACTACCGCCCACAGGATGGGTATGGGGTGCATAATAAACATATTAAACTAAAAACTTGCATCTTGAGGGAACAAGAATGATAAAGATGAAGATTTTATTTCTTTGTATAGTTTAGTTTAGTTTAATATCTTTATTATGCACCCCATACCCATCCTGTGGGCGGTAGTCAAAATATTACAAAGGTACATAATGGGTACAGGGACTGGACCCCACCCTGTATTTTGATTTGTTAAGGACAAAGAAAGGCACTATCATGCGGGGCATTTTGGGCAGACTAAACCCAATGCTTACAGATCACAATGAAGTTAGTTTAATATGTTTATTATGCACCCCATACCCATCCTGTGGGCGGTAGTCAAAAGATTACAGAGGTACATAATTGGTCCAGGGACTGGACTCCAAAGTTTTGATAGCTGAGCAAGTTACAGAGGTAATGAACTCACAATTTACAAAGGTAATGAACTCACAATTTACAAAGGTAATGAACACACAATTTACAAAGGTAATGAACTCCAGGTAAGTCTGGTCACAATCATGACAAGTTACAAAGGTATTTACAGATTACAGAGGTACGTAATGGGTCCAGGGACTGGGCCCCCAAAGTTTTGATAGCTGAACTAGGTACAAAGGTAATGAGCTCACAAGTTACAAAGGTAATGAATTCTGTAGAATGGTTAATTACGTTTATACATGGCTACAATCATGAACAAATTATAGAGTAATGAGCAATTCACACTTCCACACCCGGTCACAACTGTAATGAGTTATTGGTGCAAATATTGATTGTTGAGTCACACACACCACACACACACACACACACACACACACACACACACACACACACACACACACACACACACACACACACACACACACACACACACACACACACACACTTTAGTTTAATATCTTTATGCACCCCATACCCATCCTGTGGGCGGTAGTCAAAAGATTACAAAGGTACATAATGGGTCCAGTGAAGGACCACGATATCAATAAGACAAATACGTACAAACTAAGCATTTTGCGTAGACAGTCCTCAATGACACACTGACTTTCTTGGATTATCCTGAGCGGCTAACCATCTGGGTTTTGAAAAAAATTCCAACAAACCATAAGTTTATTTAGGTATAGGTAGACAAGCACGTCAAGAAATTAGAGAAAGTGCAAAGGTTTGCAACAAAACTAGTTCAAGAGCTACGGGAAATGTCTTACGAAGAAAGGTTAAGGGGAATTAACCTGACGACAATGGAGGACAGGAGGGTTAGGGATGACATGATAACAACGTACAAAATACTGCGAGGAATTGACAAGGTGAACAGAGACAGGATATTGAGGACTCAGATGATTCAAAAGGATGTTAGGAATTATTTCATTAGTCATAGAGTTATCAGAAAGTGGAGTAGTCTGGCAAGTAACGTAGTGGAGGCAGGAACCATACACAGTTTTAAAATGAGGTATGATAAAGCTCATGGAGCAGGGAGAGAGAGGACCCAGTAGCGATCAGTAAAGAGGCGGGGCCAGGAGTTATGAATCGACCCCTGCAGCCACAAATAGGTGAGTACAACACTCATAACTACGCGCTAAACCCACTAGGGTCATACAGTGGTACAGGTACACACAAATACAATTATCATACATAAAAACATGTGTAAATTACCCAAGATAACCCCCAAACAGTCAAATATAACCAAAAATAGATGGAATTTTCAGGCTAAGTTACGTAACCTATACAAATATGATGTAACTTAACTTCCTAACATTAATTAAATGTTACCTAGCAAAATATATTTTTGTTAATATATTCACAAATAAGAATTTGCACCAGAAATAGTTCCTCCATGATGTACATAGATTGTACGTACAGTACTGAAAAATGTGAACTAATGTTTTAGTCATGCCAAGTAATTGTCAGTAACTATAACTTTCTTTTATTTTATAAAAGACTTGTATGCTTTATAATACCCCAGCACTAATTGTTATTTTGAGATATACTGTACTAGCATTTTTTTAATACACTGGCCGTCTCCCACCGAGGCAAGGT